TATAATAGTATAAATCAAAGGAGTTTACTATTTCAAGAGGACGGATAAATAGATATAAAAATGATTATCTTCATTATCATATAAAATAAGTGCACATTCCTTCATAGCTCTTGACGCATTCATTACAAATCATTAGACGCCTACTATATTATTTCCAAAACTATGTAAAACACAATTAGAGCTGCCATTTGTTATAATTTACTTGTAGGTCGCTCTTTGTGTCCTGTTCAACCAGCTTATCTTTACTTAGACATTTTTGCGAAATGCATATGTTTATTTTTTTCTATTTGTGCAAAATGCTATTTTTTTTTGTTGTTGTTGTTTTTTTGTTTTTTTTTTTAAACTTGAAACTGTTCCATAATTAAACCACAATGTGTGTTGGTTATGTGGCATCAGGGAACGGTTATCTGTTTTTCAGAGAAAGGCTAATGTACTGTTTGGAAGGCAAAGGCAAATAGTTTCTAAGTAAAAGTGAACTGTTTCAATTAAGGTATCGGTATATTGTTTCCATGCAAAACTGACCAGCATGTTTCTATTTCCTTTCTTTTTAAAGAAATGTCAATGAAAAAAGAAAATATCGGATGAATTATTAAAGCTACATGCCTTCAGATAATTTGAAGCCAAAATATTTGAAATAAATAAACCGTAAGAAAAATGTACTAAGTTTTAAAAAAGTAAAAATAACTACAATTCAAAAAAATATACATTTTTTATGTAATCATCGACTAATTTTACACTTTGTCAACATATTTTTTCTGCGTGACTAACGAAGTAAGGTCTATATTTGCATATTCTTACATATATTTTTGGTATGTTTTATTGTAGATTTAAAGTGCCATTTGCAATGTATATTTTAATTTTCCCCACATGACAATATTTACTTTGTGACAATCATTTCCATATGATTATTTTTTTGACTCTCATATAACATTAAATAATAATAGGTTATGCGTGTAAGCACGTGTCCGCATTAATAGGAAAATTTCCTTAGTTTGATAGAAAAAAAAAAACAACAAAAAAACAAAAAGTTACGGTGATTACATAAAAAAACATGACGGACGTCTGAATGAATATCTCTGTTTCTAATATGATTATTTTTACACTAATATCATTAATAAAAACGATTATTAAAAGGGCAATGGAATACCAATATGACAAATATAAGACGTAACTACGTACATACGAAAAATGCTAGACATTTATATCCCATCCACACAACTTAGGTCCTAGAATGATTGCTTAGCACTTGTTGTGCAGCGTAGTAGGACTGTGACTTATGGTGATCGTGTTTTTATGACGCAGCCCCTAAACTCTGGATTGCCCTACCTAGAACACTAAAAAGCTGTGAAACTCTAACAGTGTTTAAGAGAGCACTTAAAACTCACTTTTTTAGGAGGTTTTATTTGGACTGATTATTTTTTAGGTTCGCTCTTTTTTAAACAATTCTTAAGTCTTACCTGTACTTTATTATTTATTTGGGTCTTTATAACTTTTTTAACTACATTTGATTTGAATTTGTGACTTGAGCAATATTGATGTTTTAATTTGTTTTTTAAATATTGTATCATTTATTTGGTTATACTGTACAGTACTTTTGAATATGTCAATGTGCATTAAAAATGCTTAAGAAGTTTGGTATATAATAATAATAATAATAACAACTGATAAACTCAACAGGTTTGCAAAAAGATTTTTTGTTGCAGAAATGAAAAAAGAGATAAGTGGTTCTTTTAACATACACCAATTACACAATCATCTATATGACATTACCAATTATTTCCATGAAAATTTTCATACAATTCTGAGTTTTAAACTTTGTATGAAATGTTTATTGATGTCAAAGTCTTTTCGTTACAAATTTGTTTTATAATCACCCTTTGGTGGATTTTAATGTTTATTTTAATAGTTTTGGTAAGGGGATTGCGTAATGATTAGAGAATATGAAGAAAAAAAAACACTGAAAAACAGATGTTGTATAATGATTATATAAACAAATAAACTATGCACTCACTTAGTATGTTTGAAATATGTACCGAATGTTATCAATTAAAGTTTGTTTGCTTTTTACGATGACTTTACACATTTTGGATTTCACTCGGCTGTCCATCGAAACATGCTTCCCGGGATAACTAACTAGTAATTACCAATTACTCTGCAAGTGACCAGCTATTTATGCCACTTGATTTCTGAATCAGCTATGAAAGAGCAAGTGACCATTATACTCCATGTCCAACAAATTCGGCTTCTTCCGTGGTTCGAACCAGACACCACCTGAAAACATTTTCGATTATCTCCCAATTGAACTAAGCGGGCGGACAACAAAATGACATTATTTGTGATTTTAAGTTAACTTGATATCAAAGAAAAAGCCAATTTACCCTGATTCTCCATGTTTATAGTTTCGATCGATGTGAATCCCCTGTTGAGCCGCAGATTATTGAGTAAACTTTCTTATCACTAGTATTACAGTTGAAGATATTGATGTACGGTTGTACAAATTATTGGCAACGAGGAATGTATTCTGGGAAATATCTATGATGTTCAGTAAAATAGGAAAAAGGTTATGTTGGTACATTTTTTTTATCACCATTTTGATAATTATTTATTAATTTAGCAAATCACAACGTATAAAGTAATCGTAAGAAGGTGATTAAAATCCAAGTTTCAAACCTTTAACATATTGTACAGATAAAACATGTTTTACTGTTTGGACATATGCACAATATCATATTTTATCATATGTATATTATCATATCTTTATGATACTGCATATTACTATATCTTTGTCTCAACGCGCATTTCCATACTTCCACATTATGAACCTTATCATACATTTATCATAATACCGTTGTCATATCTTATCACATTGCCAGGTCTTTATCAAATTCATATTGTCCTATCCATATCATGAGTATATTGTCTTATCTTTACCGTAATTTTGTTAAAATGTACATTGCGATATCCTTAACATAATGTACATTACTATATCTTTATCACAATGTACATTACCATTACTTTATCACATTTCGCTTTTTTATATCTTTGCCAGTATCATTATGCACATTGCCATTTTTAATAATCATTTAATTAATCATAATGGACGCTGCATATCTTTGGCACAATGTATATTGCCATACCTCTATTATAATGCACATTTCCATATCTTGATCATCATGCAATTTACCATATCTTTGTCCCATTGCACATCGCCATATCTTTATCATAATACACATTGTCATACCCCTTTCATTATGCACATTGTCATTTTAATTCCTTTACGATCACATGAATATTTCCATAATTTATAAGGAAACAATGCGTATTTTAAGCAGAGGCAGTCTCGCTTATATAAAAACGTAATTTGATTTTCTTTGAGTGGGTAAGTATCTGCATTTGTCTAGGAAATACAGCCTTAAGTTATCTGAAATACAATACTCAGTAATAATATTTAAAGTTATATACATTTAAGATTATATAATTGTAAATATTGCGGACTTAAGTGCACTTTTAAAGTCTATTAATGATAGTTTACATTATTTACGGTTGTAAGTACAGTATGGAACACCTAGCACATTTTTAAGGACAACTAGGCAGACTATTATAAAATACAGTGGTAAAGAGATTATTAAAGGTGCTCTGTATGTTTCTACTGCAAAATATTGATTTAAGTAGAACTATTGATAGTAAACAATATCAGCTCGCCTTAAACCTTTTAAATTGTTACAACAAAAACCAACAGAAAGAAAATCATATGTTAACATTAAGAAGGGTTCCTGTGCAGTTATTGGACTGGCCAACAATTTATTTTTGTGATTGTAACTATGTAGTTCTTGACTTATTAATATGGTTATTGTTTACAAATTGTACACATCCAGGGTTTGCATTTATACATAATTTTTAGTATATTATGATAATAAAGTACTGTTAAATTATTCAAATATGGTAATATAGTACTGTTAAATTATTCATTCAACACGTATGTATTCCGTTTTGTGTGTTTTTGTGTGTATTAGTGTTTTTTATGGGTTTTTTTGTGTTGTTTTTTTTGTTTTGTTTTTTGTGGGAAGGGGGTTGTATGGGTGTTTTGATGTTGTATTTTCTTTGTTGTTTATTTGTATTGAGCTTTTTGTTTTGTTATTGTATTTTGTTTGCTTTGTTTTTATTTTCTATTTCTTGTTTTAAAGATACTCCATTAAGGCTTTTTTGACATTACGGCATGGGAAATATTTCCTGTCATTTAAGAACCAATTGAGATTTGGACCCATCACGTGTTTGAAAATTTTCAGATCTTTCTCTCACTAAGTTGTGTCCATGATAATCATTCTTATTGTTCAAAATGACCAAATAATTAGAACGCGTTGTAAAGCTTGTCTAACGCTTTATTAACTGAACTTTCTGTTACTTTGTTCTATACCATATCCAAATATAATATAATACAAGAAAATGGCAGAAGGAAGATGAAAATCTATTTTTTTCCTAAAATATTCTTATCATACAAAGAAACCCACCTTGCCAAACCCTCTTTTGATACTATTGTGACTTTCTTTGTGCTTCCATTTCTAAAAAGTGTACGTTTTTATGGAATTATGTCTTAATGGTAGATTATGTGAACTAAATAACTTTTATTAATTTTCATTTATATCACTGTCAAAAAATTAAAAACATTAGCTCCAAAACTGAAAATAGTGTGTCTGTTCATTTTAACCATTCTTACTGCAGATATCATTGATAATAACATGTTAGTTGTCAATAAATCGTTAATATTTCATTACATATTCCAAGTTATGTCTTCAATGTAACACCTGTCATTAATCAGACTAAAATGTCATCTTCTTAAATCACTTTTTTGTCTGGGAATTTGCTTGACAGAAATTGCCATATTTTCAGGTGAGAAAACAAATTTGTTTTTCAATATCAGAAAACCTCCACGCCAGTTTATATGGAATGCTGTACAATATGCCAATAAAATAACATCATTAACCAATACATTCAAGCTTGGAAAGCAATCGCTTTGCTACGAGTATCTCCAAGCGGCTTTACAGTACAAGAGTGTGCGTGCTTAACTGTATTACCACACACCAATAAGATAATAACCTGTGAAATGACTGTGAGAAGATGTGCGAACATATATTCATACTATTTATTTATCATATGGAAATAGTTTGTAATGAAATGAAACGATGTTTTAAAATAAAGAGTATATCAAATGAACTAGATATTAATTGTTTGTTTCATTCCGACCGGGATAAGGATTATTAAACAAAGGTTTGTTTGAACTTTGTGCTTTTTTATTTTCTTGTTTTCCTCATTTTTCTAATGGAATGCGTCTGTAATGTAAAACAAAAAGTTTACAGGGCTTATATAGAATAAAGCTTTCATAGATATTTTAAATAATAAATTAAAATTTAATGCAACTTGTACAATTATCAAATCCTTATGATTCACGTCTACTCACATGATTTTTACAAAATGTTGATATGATTGTTGCACAAATATTTCAGTAATACCTGTTAATCCAGCGTAGGTACACACGTCTTTAGTAACGTCATGTCATAAAGATTCCTTCCATTAATTCTTTTATATTTCTGTTATCGTTGAGAACTTCTCGGCTAGGATAAGAAAATGATTGCATTATTACATTTAATAAACACAAATCATATTGTTTTTAATATAAATTTGTTTGTTATTAATATCTTTTATCTATAGAATGATGACATATATATTGCCTCCTGTCTCCTTTTCTTAGCTCAATTAAGGTCATTCTTTTATTAAAGTACATTCCATTACATCGTAAACAGTGGCTGACCTACGCACTAATAGAATATAGTAGGGGAAAGAGTTACAAGACGTGAAATTATTTCCGTTTAAATGAATGGTATGATTTTTTTTTAAATGTTGAAGAGATTTTCGAAACCACCTCTTCAAATCATGAACATATTATCCATTTGATTAGTTTTAATTTGTGACTTTGGAAAAAAAATCAAATGTATATAATACAGTAAATCGTTAGTACATTACGGAAATCATATCACGTTCCGGCACATTTTAATTAATGAGATTAAACACCTGTGCTTCTTTTGTATTGATAGTAAGACGAAATGATTGGTCATTTGACTTAATAATCTTTTTCAAATAATATATAATACGGCAGTTGAATTTATATGCCTTGAATAAATTTTAAATTGTAATGTTCTCTTTATTATCTAAAATATCTAAATACACACGTATTTCTAATTTTATAATTTTGGCGAAATTACCATCAACAGAACTGACAAAAGGAAATCAGTCAGTTAAATATTATATGATTCTTCATCAGTATCCTTCTAAAATGAAGAACAATTACAAAAATCACAGACAACATTTTATGAATTCTGAAAAGGGAGGGGGTTCTCTCGAGGTCAATGGAAACAAAATCAAATAGTTGAAAGTCACATACTCAATTTTATTCAAGGCAGAGAACACAAAAGAAACACGATTTCAACGACCTCCATCCTTTTTTAACTCAGTTGTTTTTTCTGTTATCATATTCTAAGAGAATGGGCTAATTAAACAATTTATCAACTGTTTTTGTTCTGACTGTGTGAAAGCAGAAGCAATTGTATTCAAGTATGTTTATTACTGATAAGGGAAGCTAAATATCTCTCACATCCTCGGGCCCTGGTAAAAGCAGTATGCAATCATCAACTGCTACAGCTCTCTTGCTTGTTCAGTTTTAACGATGTGTTTAGTGATGATTTTGAAGACCTGAAGACTTTATTTTAAATTATGTTATGTAGTTTATCGTCATTTCTTTACCCCTTACACCGCTTCAGACGGTGCTAGCGGGCGTGATAATTGCTGTACATTTACATTATTTCTGATAAACATTTTCATCAAACCGAGTTTGCAATTTGGTATAAATTTGTAGTTTTAATGCTTCATAAAGATCATCCTTTTTCAGATTTTATAAGAAAGGCAATTTTCCTTTTTTTGTTTAGTCAATGGTTGATGTGAATATATCTAATCTCAGGTTATGAAAGTAATTTGTATCTTTGATCACATTTGTTCTAAACAATTTATGAATTAAAGGTCCATAAAGACTCAGAAATGCTATTATTTTTATTTCTCAATGGTATTTTGTATTTCTAAAAAACATACTCATTTTCTAATTATAAATACATCATTTTATGTACTATTAATGTTTATGTACATGTTAAATAATTATGTACTTATCGCACAGGTCTTGAATGATCTGTTAAACATGGTATCGGGATAGAGTTAATATTTGTTTAATACAAGTATACCAAACATAGTCACTTAAATAAATTTTGATAGTTAAAAGTCATATATTGAGCTTTAACATAAAACTTTAGGAATGTGACTGAGCATTAAGAGTATAAAGGGATTAGCTGAGTATTTTGTGTTGAATTTTAATGTGATCGTTTTTCACGTAATCGTGTACCAGGATGATATTTTCACAAGTTGTGAAGCCATGAGAATAATTGTTTCTCTGGAGATTCACAAAGGAACAAAAAAAGAAACCCTCACAGGTTTAACTTTAAATGTTTGCTTTTATTTGTGCCGTATTACGCGATCTTTGTAGTTTAATAATTATTGATACAATTTTTACTTCTTAAAAATCCATGTTCTGTTTTCCTTTATCTTTTGATGTATTGATTGGCAACGAAAGTTTACATATAAAAATTTCATGATACTACTTGTGTTTTCAGTGATAAAGTCCTTATAAAATATAACCAATGCACTTTCAGCATTTGCTTCACGTGAGGTTCCAATCTCTATAATTATAAGTTCTTATCTTATCAATTTACCCTCGATTTCATTTCCAGAGTTCAAACGTCTATATTAAATCCATATCACACCTCATATACAATCGTGTTCAAACTATTTTTATCAAATGCATATCATATTACATCTAGCTAGTTGTCTCGTCCGATATAGTTTTGACAGCTGTTTACTCGTCCAATAGAATTAATTATTATGTTAAGGTAGCTCGCTACTTTCCGACCGAAATTTGACAATATCTCAGATCTTGATGATTTCTGGTATACAGACATGTAGATATGTAAGCTTTACTTCTGCAGCATTATTTTATAAATAAACAGCGTTACTATGACGTCAAAGCGCCCTCTATCGGTGGCGGCGAAATTGCGTCTTTTTTATCAATAAACATGTCTGTTATTATCAATTTTCATCCGATTTCCTTCATTTTAATTTTATAATGTTCAGTAAATGTATGTCTTTGTAATGATGTCTTTCTTTAACATTTGCTTAATACTCTGCGATTCTACGTTATTTTCCCTCTCGTTCTGACGTCCATATTTGATGCAAATATCGCGCGATATCGCAATAAAGATTGTGAAATAATAAAAAATCAACACGGTGAATTTTGCTTTAATTTTTTTAGCATGTAGTGAAGTCATAAAAGAAAATATTTATGCAATAAAAATATAGGGTCAACGCGTAAGATATTTTGCTATTACTATTTGAATATAAAATAAAGGGTGAGTAAAACGTAATGATTTTGGTGACGTCAAATATTTTTCTCAAGGAAATTTTCACGACTTTTTCGATAAATAACATACTGATAGGAATAAAAATGTGTGAAAACCATCAACAACAATAGTTTGTAGACATGTTCCGTAAAAATGTTCTTTTAAAAGTCCTGGCAGATGCCTGCATTTCGATGAATATCTTCAATTATATACATGTACAACAAATCAGGGTATAACTGTCTGCAAAAGTTGGTATCAATCGCTGAAAAACTGCAACGAATGGATATAAATACCTCGAGGACTGAAAGACAATTCAGAATATTGAAAGATATAATTAAAGGGCCACCTAAGTGGAAATTATAAAAACATAAATTTTGCAAAGAATGTCAGAAAAAAAGAATGAAAAGGCTGATGCAGTCGCAATGTCATCATGTTATGTATATCTCGGTACAACATAAACTTCCATGTTATCATATGTAACAATTTTGAATTGTATATATCAGTTAGTAGGAACAGAGACATAGATAACATCTATGTCTGTGGTAGGAAATAAATCAAATTTACGTTTCAAAAATATATGATCAACTGGAAGTAGCAACGATTTGTACGTAAGCCATGATTCACTGGTAGTCTTAATTATATTCTAAAATCTAGCAGACATTTAATTCAAAAATTTTCTACACGTATAAAAATTTATTTATTAACAGCCATCAGATATTCTATTTTCTCTCGCAGCTAAATACCCTGCACTAAGCGTGAGACTCACATTTAAAGCAGGAATCACGCTCTCATGCTATGGCTTTAATTTCTCACGTATTTCACATAATTACAGATATTCTTATTTATTTTAAACTAGCTGACTCGCGGTATGCGTTTACTAGCGCATCTTTGAGGCGATCTGAAGCCGCGATCATTTCTCGATTAAAGGCGAAAGTTCCGTTGATTTATTTTGTATGTTCAGAAGCGGAGAATTTTGCATATTAAATACAGATTCCCTTGTATTGAAGACCATGTAGGATCCTCAATTTTTGAGAATATGGTTGTGGGAGAAGCTCGTTTTTTGTCTGCACATAATGCAGTGCTATGTAGAGCCTATGAAAATAATGAACTATGCATTTTATGTTTTATATTTTCTTATTTTTTAATATTGGGTTTAACGCCGCTTTCAACGTATTTCAATTAAAGCGGAGGGAATTTAACGGTACCAGTGTTTCTCACAGTATCAACTTCTTTTTGGAAATGAATGACAGGAGTCCGAGGTGGACCTTGAAACATTTCATAGACAGTAAACAATTCTAAAATATAATCTATTAGTACAATAAGCAATCGTGTCTCGAATCCATGCCTTCCGAATTCAGCGTAAGACCACTTTACCGATTACAACGTGGCAACAGAAGAATATTCAAAGTAAAAAAAACCTGATTATGATCTCCGTTAATAAGGGAGAAGTCCATTTTATTGCTAACATCATAAACACGTGTTGTTGGTGTGTGTTTGAGGTTGTTTTTTTATTTTATTTTTTTTTATTTTTGTTTTAAAGCAAACTGTATTGTATTAAAAAATGAACAAGATAACGTCAACATAATACATTATTCGTATTCAGTGGTAACAAAAGTTGCACAAGTTAGTTAATAATTATATTTTGTATTTAACTAAAATATACAGTATAACCTCTACAGAGAAATGCCCTTTGTTGCCTAGAGTGGTTGCTCTACAGAGGTAAAATGTAGTGGAACTCTTTAGAAATAAATAATACTTTGAGGGCCGCTATGT